TTTTTATATATTAATAAACAGCCCAAATATTTTTTAGAAATGCTCAAAAAAAAAAAAAAAACCGTTTAAGTGTTCTATAATTTTTGTTAATTTCAAAATAAAAACTACTCCAACCAACCAACAACCACAATGAAAACCACACAACTGAAGAGAAAGCAAAAACAACTAATATTTAAGATACCAAATATAATCATATTTCATATTAAAAATAAAATAAAACAAAGTGTAAGAAAATTAACAAAAAAGGCCTCTAAAACAATTATTTGTTATTTTGTTTTTCAAAAAAATTAACAAACTATAATATAATTGGTGAAAACATATGACAAAATATCATCATGCAACATGTTCTTTCAGTTTGTAGTCACAAGCAAAACTTACCAACCATTATAAGATAATGATTATTTAAAAAAAAAAAATTCATAGAATGCGACACAATACAATTGAAAAGCTACATGACGCAGCCATACAGCCTTCATCCTCAAGGCATTAAAATCTATTAGTGCTTCTTCTAGAAATAAATATGAACATAGTACACAACTAAAAATAAAGAGAGTTGGAATAAATCCACAAGCTGAAACTTCTATTTGCAGATCTCCCAGTTTATTCCTTTTTTTTTTTCCATCTATATTTTTTATAATCAATAATCAAGGCAATGTATACCAGCAAAACATAATAGGGGCATTTACATTGATACCATGCAATTCCAAGGCATTTACATATCTAACAACTAAACATTCATATTTACAAGTATCTAAGTCAAATCTTTAACATCACATCAAAAAAATCATGACCACTATCTTTTTAAAAGTGAAATGCACCTTTTCATGCATAGATTTATGACACCCAAATGTTGTTAATGTAAATATGGAAATTTGAGTGTTAGATATGTAAATTCTTCAGAATTGTAAACTTCCCTTTTATAAATAATATTCCTGAACGAATATTGTAGTACCACTCTATAATGGTTTAATTTAAAAATTCAATTTTGATGAACCTCTGAATCTGCATTTTGCTTTATTTGTGCAGCTTTACCAGCATATTGTCCTCAGCGGTGGGAGTACCATGTATCCTGGATTGCCTAGCCGGTAAAAAGTTGCCCCAAAGAAATTTTTACTTTTGTAAATATGAAACCTTAGGTGTGAGATATGTAAATACATATGAATTGTGTGCTATGCATGTAAATGCCTGCCCCCTAAAGAAAGGACACACCCTAATAACCCTAATAAGCAAAACCAAATATATCAGAAATTAAAACACATTACACAATTTGAACCTTTACAATTCCAAAGTTGCTGAAGCAAATCTAGAACATACCCTATACTTGAAAAATTAAGAGGTTTGTGACCACTTTTATTTTACTTTTTTATTTTATTTGTATTTTGATTTTAATTAAAATGTATTTGGTTGAGATAGTTTTTTTTAAAAAACTTGAAATATCTTTTAGATGTTTTGAATAATTTTAAAAACAAAAAGTAAAATCATATAAAAACTATACCAACCAAACATGTTTTTAAAAATAAAAATAGAAATAGGAAATAAATGTGGTGCCAAACGGAGCCTAAGTTTCCTGCATAGTGAATGATATTGCAAACCTTGCACATTTTTTGCTTACGAGTTATCCGAGCATTTTCAAGTAAAAACTTGACAAAAATGACTTTTGCTATTTCCATTATTCTAGATATAACCTCCAAATCACAATAGAGACATGTTCCTTTTTCATGATTGAACACTTATTTTGCTCTGATTCTAACAGCCTGGAGAAAGAAATACTTGACAGATACCTTGAAGCAGTATTAAAGGGAAACAAAGATGGCCTAAAGGTGATGCTTTTTTTTAGTCCTCCCAATCACGATAATTTCATCACCCGGCATTGTTTCATTCAAGTTAAACTTATTTTACATTCTTCTTCTATAAACATGCTTCTGAATTGACATTCTCAATTCTGCAAGTCAGCGTGTGATATTTAAGAAAGTTTAAATTTTTATTTGAGCTTGAGACTTAGATTAGTTAAAAACATGGCTAAATTATTATAAATTGCAATACTGTCTATCTCATTTCATGTACAGTAATTGCATTTTACATGTCATGACAGAAGCTTCGCTTGAGAATCGAAGATCCTCCGCGAAGAAAGCACATGGTGTACCTAGGTGGTGCAGTTCTTGCCGGAATCATGAAGGTATTATTATTATTATTATTTCAGATAATTGCATACACAACACTCAAAACATTGCTATTTACAAAATTAACAATTAGGTAACTTGAACCACCGATCAAACCTTTGAGAATTTGATAAAAATAAAAAGTAGAGGCAATCACATACAGACCACCCAAAACTTCCTATTTACAAATCTAGCACCCTCTTTAATCGGTTTTTCAAATTCTCACACAAATATCAAAATTCATGGTAAAATCCCAACCCATATTTCTCTATTTTATCAAATTCTCAATAGTTTGATAGTGACACTCGTAATTATATTGGTTTCGTAGTTTAGAAATAACATCTGTTTGGTTAATTTATAAATATCAAAGTTTTGGGTGATCTATATGTAATTACCCCTAAAAAATATGGGTTGGGTATTTATCGTGAATTGTAATTTTTGAGTGAGAATTTGAAAAGTGGATGAAAGACGTGCTAAATTTTTAAATAACAATGTTTTGCTTCACTTTCATTTTGAGACAAATGCCTTCATCCATCTTCTTAAAACTACAATCTTGTGTAACAGTCCATGAATTTATTTGTTTTCATCTACCATATCCCTACCAAGGTAGAACTTAAATTTCATGCAAACCTTTTTAGGATGCTCCGGAATTTTGGATTAACAGGCAGGACTACCTGGAAGAAGGGCTGGCTTGTCTGAGGAAATGTGGACAGGTCTGACCATTTTGGAAGAAGTGTAATGTATGCTTTAAAATAATGTTCATTGTTCATATAAGGTGTCAGCTTGTGCTTAGAGGCTTTATGTTTGCTACTGCATCTTAAATGTATGTTCATTCTTGATTAAAATTTACGCTGAGTTTTTATTATATGTTCTTACTGCCTTAAATTTTTCTGGTAGCGGCATATTTTATGTTATATCATAGGAATGAAGGCTATGATTAGTGATAATCAAAATATAGTGAAATCTATAACGTCGTGATAGGATATGTTTATTAATTGGTGAATATATACAAAATACTTGTTTTTATTTGTTATTTATTATTTATTATTTATTTGTTTTATATCCTTGTTGTGCTCTCTATGTTTGTATAGTATCTCACTTAGGGTCCGTTTGAAATCGTTTTCTACGTGCTTTGGGTTTCAGACCGCTACAATAATTTTGTTTGGGGAATTATTTTCTTGCTTCTTTATAGAATTTTTCGTGGTAGGAAGTTATTTTTTTAGCCTGACCTATTAAAGTATATTGAATTTAAGAAATTTGTTTGATTTTTTTGAAAAAAAGATATATCTTTAGAACCCCCTCTATAGCTTTCTAAGTAGTTTATTCGATCACAATCTTCTGATCACCTTTTCAAAAACATTGCAGCCACCCCCAAATAGACTTTTAGTGGGATAAAGGCTTCTTATTGTTGTTGTATGTTTGTATGGTAGTACGAGGGATGTAATTCTCCCCTCTCTCTCTCTCTCTCTCATATATATATATATCGCTCATTTTGTATGAAGTTATAGTAAAATTTATAGTGTTAACAATAAGTTGGCATCAACAGATGAATCTATTTTGTAAAATTATTTTATATTTTTTGTATGCTCTTTTTTTTTTAATTATTGCTATTTTTGCTTTGTATTTGAAGGTTTAAATGCTAGAGAATCAAATCATAGCGAAATTTGCAGCAATGACAAGAGGATGTAGTCATCAGTTTGGTAAATCTGTATTAAATCTCTGATTTTTTGTGTGCTGGTTGTTTTCTTATTTAATGTTCTTTTGTCGCTCAGCGATTAAATAGGTTTCACCTAATTTTCAACAACTATTTTTACTTTTATCAAATTCTTAATAGTTTGATTGGAACACATGTAAATATATTGGTTCGGTAGTTCAAAAATCTAATTAGTGGTTAATTTATAAATATTAATATTTTTGAGTGGTCTATATATAATTGACCTTTTTTTTTTTAATTTTAATTGTGGGAAAGTTACATACCTAGCAAATGAATAAAACGGATTCATGTGGCCGACCCCACGTAGTGGGATTAAGGCTCTGTTGTTGTTATTGTTGAAAGTTACGTACTTAGCAGACAATTCTTATGTATTTATATATCTCACATTTAAACTTTCATTGACATTTTGGTGTTTTAAATGTATGAAAATGTGTATTCACTTTTAAAAGAGGTAATGGATTTTTTTTTTTCCTGTGATATTAAAGATTTAGTGTTAAGTAATTATGAATGTTTTGGTGTCAGATATGAAAATACATAAATTGTGTGCTATGTACGTCAATGTCCCTTTTTTTCTTTTAAATTTTGATTTTTTATATATATTAATTTTTTTATTTATATTATTTATATATTTTCTATAAATGTTTATTAATAATAATATTATTTTTCTTTTCTCTTATTATTATTACTTTTATATTATATTATATTATATTATATATGTATGTATGTATGTATGTATATATATATATATATATATATAAGGTGTTCAAAAGTGCGGTGGAATAATACATTATCTTTTTTTTAGCGTTGTACATGCTCTTATCAAAGAAAACAAAAAGTGGAGAGACTAGAACTTTTAAGTGAAAAATTTGGAAAGGTAAAAAATCATGAAGTCCTACTCAGTTGACAAGATCTACTAGAAATTGTTGATTACACTTATAACCTTTGTCACACAAGCAAAAAAGAGTTATAAATTCTCTAGTGTTACGACGTTGGTGTGCGAATCAGCTTGTCATAAGAAGTGGGAGGCGACCAATGATGGTCGGAGGTGAGCGACAACGAGGTGATGTTGAACTTTAGTTCGTTCTCCAAGCTTCAAGTCCTCTCTTTAGGCTTCAAGCCCTCTCTTTAGGCTTCAAGCTCTCTTCTTTTTTCAAGGAGGGGTAGGACTCTTTAGAATCCCGGAGAGATTTTGTCGATATGATGGTGTTTGATGGGAATTTGAGTGATTTGACAATATTGGAATTGAGCGATCTTGAGCTCGTTGAAGTCGTCTTATCGAGACTCTCGATTCAACCATAAACTCGTCATATTCAACATCCGTTTAACCTTTTAAATATCCTTGAAATGCTTCTAAAAATGATTTAATGACTTGATCTGAACTTGATTTGTCTCTTATTGAACCAAATTTGTATAATTGGATCTGTTTTGTTGAGTCGGTATATTGAAATCAGAGCTCTGGTCTGGATGGCTCTTAGGCCTATTTTGTGGGCGATTTTTTCCAGCAGCGCAGTACCAAGCTGCTTCTGTTTTTTTTCGTTTGTTGCCGCGTTTTTGGAGCTGTGGTGGATAAGTTTCGCGGAACAAAGAAGACGCAGAGAAGCAATGGAAGTGAAGGAGGTGTGGGCGACGCTCGAGCAAGCGATCAAGTCCTACACGGGGCTATCTTCGGCGACCTTCTTGACGTGGTCTCCGCCTACTTTGAGCCGACGTCCATTGCGAGGAAGCGGGAGGTGGGGGGTG